TTGGAAAAAATGCCTTACAGGGAGAGATTTAAGGAGCTCAATCGGTTTAGTTTATCAGAAAGAAGATTGAGAAGTGAATGTTTACAGTGTATAATTATTTTCATGGGGGAAAAACACTAGATGCTCAATGGTGCTTTAATCTAGTAGAAAAAGGCATAACAAGAACCAACACCTGGAAGCTGAAGCCAGACAAATTCAAATTAGACACACATTTTAACAATAAGGGTGATTAACCATTGGAATAAATTACCAAGGGAAGTGGTGGATTCTCTATCTTTCGATGTCTTCAAATCAAGACTGAATCCTTTCTGGAATATATGACTTAGCCAAACACAAGCTGTTGGGCTTGATACAGGACTAACTGCGTGAAATGTAAATGCCTGGGATACCAGGTGTATACAGTGATATCAGGAGGTCAGACTAGATCAGGGTGGGCAAACTTTTTGGCCTGAGGGGCCACATTGGTGAATAGAAATTGTAAAGCGGACCATGAATGCTCAGAAAATTGAGGTTGGGGTCCGAGAGAGGGTGAGGGCTCTGGTTGGGGGTGCAGGCTCTGGGGTGGGGCTGGGGATGAGGGATTTGGAGTGTAGGAGGGTGCTCTGGGCTGGGATCAAGGATGTTTGGAGAGCGGGAGGGGGATCAGGACTGGGGCAGAGGGTTGGGGCACTGGGAGAGGCTCGGGGAGCAGGCTCCGAGCGGTGCTTACCTCAAGCGTCTCCTAGAAGCAGTGGCATGTCCATTCTCCAGCTCCCATGTGGAGGCATGGCCAGGCGTTTCCACACGCTGCTCCACCCTCAGACACCGATTGGAGCACTGAAAGGAGCCATTGGAGCACATAGGAGCCAGAGCGGGGCCATGCCACGCATGGTGCGCCCCCCTCGACCCAGCACCCTGGCTCGAGTGCCTGAGCGGGGCCGAGCCGCATGGCATGGCCCCCGACCCAGCACCCCAGCTGGAGCGCCAGAGCCGGGCAAGCTCCAGACCCTGCTCCCCAGCGGGAGCTCACAGGCCAGCTTAAAACGGCTCGTGGGCCATAGTTTGCCCACCCCTGGACTAGATGCTCTAAGGGTCAGTCACTTCTGGCCTTAAAACCTATGAATTCACACTGGTCTTTTACAAAAGTAGTTATGCAATGGAATTGCATTTGTATCACAACTATGCTTTGAGAGCCAGTTTCTAAGAGAAGAATGTTTAAATGGTTTTTAAGATTTGAAAAAAATCACATTCAAGAGAGACTTTTGGTGGACCACATGTGCCTCCTGGACACATTTTATAAGGATGCAATCACAAAAATAGGTTCATTGCAGTGCTCAAGTCCAACTGGAACACTCGAGAACACTGTTCCACAACTTCTCTGGGGTGCTGGAATGGAATCACGTGGCACTTCCAGTACTTCTTTTTTGGCACGTGAAACCCTCTGTATCAATAAGAAATGCCCCAGAGAAAGCAACACACTAAAATCTACAATTAGTGTCTGATGAGAAGCAGGAAAATAAGTTAATCAAAAGGCATCCAGAATTAACAGAAGCTTGTTACTTAACTTACTCAGCATTTATTATTCTACAACTAGAATATTCTGCAGTCCATTTTTAAACACTTCTAAAATGCAAACTTAAATTATCTAAACATGAACATCAAATTGGTGCCAACGGTTGCTAATTGAAGTCCAATTTGGCTATTAAACTCTACAAAGAAACTCAGAGCAACAAAATAAAATGTGAGTTGAAGGAGAAAGATGTTTGGGTTTTCTAATCAAGAGCTTTCATAACCAGAAAGTTCAAAAGTCCATGTAAGTAATGTAACCTTTCTGGAGGTAACTATAAAGCAGATTACAACTGTTCATTACAGGATGCACTTGGAAATGGAGAAATTAAAAAAATTCCAAAACAGAGACTAGAATATTTGAACACAAACTCTTTGTAGTCAGACAGTTGAACCTCTCCAATTCAACACTGCTATCACCAAGGTGTTAATTTCATACAATAACTAGGGAGTACAAGATAGGACCACAGTGTAGCCAGTGCTTTCTGCAACAGGACAATTTTTAGCACTTTTCTCTGAGGTGCAGAGAGTTAGTGACTATGCTAATTTGGGGCTGCTTCAAAGCCCACTGAAGTAACTGGAAGGTTTATCTTTGTTTTCATGGGATTTGCATCATGCCTTTTCAGCCATAGATCTTAAATTGCATCTTTACAAGATGGAGAGATTGAGGCACAGACAGCTAACATGACTTGCCCAAAGTCACCCAGCAGGCCACTGGCAGAGCCAGGAACAGAACACAGGCCTTCCAAACCGCAGTCCAGGGCTCTATGCACTAGGCCTTACTGCCTATACACTGACATCCTAGCTGAATAAAACACAGACCTAGAAATCAGGTGACCAGAGATCTGTTACTTCCTGAGTGATCTTTGACCAGTGATTTATGCAAAAACGGTTAGACTTGCGTGCCTGAGTGATGCATCTAAATCCATAGTTAGGCATTTACATATTGGTGCTTAATCTCATAGATGAGTTGGATTTCCATTAGTAAACTTATTTAGGTGCCTAAAATGTGGATCTAGGGAAGAGGTGGTCAAACTATGGCCTGCGGGCTGGATCAGGCCCATCAGGGGGCTGGATCAGGCCCATCAGGGGGCTGGATCCGGCCCACAGAATTGCTGCCCATACCCGGACCCCTCCTGCAACCCAACCCCCTGCCGCACCCCAACCCATTGCCCTGAGACCCCTGCTGCACCCCAACCCCCTTCCCTGAGCCCCCTGGCTCACCCCTCCTGTACCTCAACCCCCTGCCCTGAGCCCCCAACCCCCGCTGCACCCCACACCTCTCCTGCACCCCTCCCTGAACCCCAACCCCCTGCCCTGAGCCCCCTCCCACATTCCACACCCCCTCCTGCACCCCAACGCCCTGCCCTGAGCTCCATCATACACCCCACACCTCTACCCCTTGCCCCAAACCCCTTCCTGCACACCGCACCCCCTCCCTCACCCTGCACTCCCTCCCACATCCCAACCCCCTGCCCTACATTCATGGCCCTGCATGCAGTTTCCCCTCCCAGATGTGGCCCTTGGGCGAAAAAGTTTGCCCACCCCTATCTAGGGGCTTAACTTAAGGCACCCAAGTTTGGGGTTACATATTTGTGCCATAGTTTTCTTTTACTAAAAAAGTGACTTGATCATAGTCCATACTAAGAAGAGGAACTAACCACTGAGTAGAGAAGTAAAGTCAGGACTCCTAGGGCCTGAACCATTGAAGTCAATGCAAAGACTTCCATTTACTTCAGTGGGCTGTGGATCAGTCACCTAAGGCATAAGGAAGTGAAAACATAAAATATAACTATATATAATTGTCTTGCTTACAGTAAGCAAGACAACTGGGTGCTTTTAGCAACAACATGAAGTAAAATCTATGCTGTGACAAAGTTAACAGTGCACACATAGCCACAGTCTGCTCAATTCACCTTTCCAGCTCCAATATATTTAGAAATTGAAAACTGAGTATGCTTCTTGATTTAACAGGAGTCTCCAAGTGTGGACATTTAGCAGGTCATAAATGTGAGGAAGTAGAGCTCAACTGCTTCACTTCTATCAAGAAATCAGGGTAAAACTGTTTGGAGGGAAAGAGAAATTTGCTAGTAAGCCTTATCTGATGCATTTCGGATTTCTGTTTGCTAAGCCTCACATTGCAAAACCATGCCACACCCCTGTGAATAAGAAGTTCTTTAATATCTATCATCATTTACAATGGGAATAGACTATACACTATTTCCTAACCAAGCCATGGCTTAACAATTAGCTTGAGAAAATTGAATCAGTCACACATATGCACAAGGATTTCCTCTTCCAAGACTGTGAAATATGCATTTTTGGCACCAGAAAGAGACTAGCGTATCTAAACTGAGGGTCTCCTCGTGCCATCCTGTAAAGGAGTTCTCTTTAAAATTTACAAAGTATTTTAATAAGCAGAAATTTATTTTCATTGCATTAGGCAGTGCCTAGTAGGAATAATTACAGGAAGTACAAATAAGTGATTCACTTTACAAAATTACCAGAACCAGAGGTGTATAATTTATATTGTGGTAGAACCAAAAATGTATTAGGTGCTTCACAACCAGAGGAAAATGATTTCCTTGCCCCACAGAATGTACAATTTAAAAAAACAAAGACAAGTGAAAAGGAATACAACATACATGCACAGTGATCAAGGTGATAATAGGCATATCTTGTTAGAAATTTAGCTGTGTGATTTTGATTGTTAGGCTCACTAAATTCTCCTTCCCAATCCCACAACATATTGCTTTATTCTCCCCTCTACTTTCCCCCTCCCCGCCCCCAGTAACCCCCAGATTCAATTCCATTGTCTTTATAATCTTCCCTTCACATAAATTAAGTTCTCATAGGAAAAATAAATAAAATATTTCCCAATGACTTTCTCTGACTTCAAAAAGTGCTGCTCACATGAGGAAAGTTATGCATCTGCTGAAGTGTTTAGAGAATTAAGATCTAAAACTGCTTAATCAGCTAGTCTGTTTCTTGATAAGCATTATGCATCATCACAAGGAAGGATACTTTTTACAAAATTACATCTTTAAGAAAATTTCAGAGGTAGCCATTAAGAATTTCAGAATGTATATAATTTTACTAACATAGAAAATGAAATGTTTAGATGTGGGAGTTATTCCGCCAGCCCAAAAACCTTTCATAACTAAAAAGAAACAAAAAGATTTTGCACTGAATTTGTCAAACAACTAAAAAAAAATTAAAAGCACTTTTGATGACAAGGGACTTTTTCCTGCTACATAAAGAGTTAATAGCAGACTGCTCCACCATTCTGAGCATTTGCATGACTCCTAGGTATATTCCCTGCAGACACATTATCTGATTAAAGAAAGGCAAACAAACTGAATTGAAACCATTCTTTCTTTAAGTCCAGCCTCTTCTTCCTGTGATGTCATATTACAAATTGACTGAGCTCTTTTTTCCTCCCCCTCTCTCTTCAGAATAAGCAAGGCTTACTATACACTCAGCATCTGAGGAGGAGATCTAAATTCGGCAAGAACAAACACGCTTTGGAATTTTATTTCTGAATTTCTAAGCAGCCTGCTTTCCGCCCTGTGGGGTTAGCGTGCAGGCAAGTTGAAAAGCTTGTTTTACGGGAAGGCGGCAGTGAAAGAGGTGGAAACTCCTACGTCTTACAGAGACCAGGAAATCTTTTCCTAAGTAACCTCAGTTACACACTCTCAGTTAAACAACTTTGGAAAATCTGCATTTAAAGTACTTCTCTACTTTTTGACTTGCAGTTGAACATAAAGTAGCAAGTTCTGTATCAACTTCATTAACACCTGGGAAAACAAGAGCGTGGAATTAAATGTAAGGATGACCTCATCTGTTGCTTGTAAGACTATGCTTATTATCGCCCAGGACTGGATGTGTGACTATTGTGGCATTTGGAAGAAAAGAATAATCTCCTGGTGATTCCCAAGGTAGTATCTTCCTACTGCAACGTTCATGTTTCACCTTGGAAGTTTTAAAGTAAAATGGAAAACTTATGAAATCACTCACAGACCAAATTCATCTGCAAGCTACCCAGAGATTTTAAAGGAGTTACAGCAGAAGGGCTGCTAACGAAAGGAATTCAGCATTGTAAATTTAAATTGCCCTTATAATGGTAAGCTCTAATTGTTCCACTGAGGACTCCTTTAAGTATATTTTATATGGATGTACGTTTAGCATGGTGTTTGTCCTTGGTCTAATATCAAATTGCGTTGCTATATACATTTTTACATTCACATTAAAAATGCGAAATGAAACAACTACTTACATGCTTAATTTAGCAATATCTGATCTACTTTTTGTATTTACATTACCCTTCAGGATTTATTACTTTGCAATAAGAAACTGGCCATTTGGAGATATACTTTGCAAGATTTCTGTCACAATGTTTTATACAAACATGTATGGAAGCATTTTCTTCTTGACTTGTATAAGCGTCGATCGCTTTTTAGCCATAGTGCACCCATTTTGGTCTAAGACTCTTAGAACCAAAAGAAATGCAAAAATTGTCTGTGTTGCAGTATGGATAACTGTACTAGCAGGAAGCATGCCAGCAAGCTTTTTTCAGTCTACCACCACCCGAAATAACACTGAATATGAACAAAACACATGTTTTGAAAACTTTCCGGATACCACCTGGAAAACTTATATATCAAGGATTGTTATCTTCATTGAAATTGTGGGATTTTTTATTCCACTGTTCTTAAATGTGACCTGTTCTACGATGGTTTTAAGGACTTTGAATAAACCAGTTACATTAAGTCGGAACAAGCTAAGCAAAAAAAAGGTACTCAAAATGATTTTTGTCCATTTGGTGATATTCTGTTTCTGTTTTGTGCCATATAATGTTACCCTAATACTTTATTCTCTAATGAGAACACAAATATGGATTAATTGTTCATTAGTAACTGCTGTAAGGACTATGTATCCTATCACTCTATGCATTGCAGTTTCAAATTGTTGTTTTGACCCTATAATATACTATTTTACATCAGACACTATTAAAAACTCAATAAAAAAGAACAGATCAGCTAGAACACGCGATTCCAGATCCACTGAAACTCAGGTTGCTGAAAATTTTATTCAACACAGCCTCCAGACTTTAAAAGCTAAAATATTTGACAATGAATCTACAATATAAACTGAAAGAAAATACTGGGACTGAAATGCACCTTTCTTCAGCTTTTAAAATGTTTTCTTGTACACTGAATAAACTTTCTTCACCTTAGAAAACTGTTTATATCATGATTAAAAATAGGAAAAAGTTAAATGTCAATTGTAAACATAGTTTATAGAAAAATGTAATTACTGCAAGAATTACAAATATTTTAATAGTTGTCAAAGTTTTATCTCTTCTGCCTTTATGTCACAGATTCCATGACCTGTTATATAGACCCTGCTGTGTCTCCTTACAATTTTGAACCACACAAAAATAAACTGATGTTTGGAAACCTAAGCTGATACTAACAAGGTCCAAAAGTGTTTTACAATTCAACATATTATGAAGTTGGAAGACTAGGTCTTCTCATTGTTTGTGTTAACAGGTTAAAACAATTTAAATTAAAAAATTAAATTGTGAACACATTTTAGGCTGCAACTATTTTGTTTAGGTGTTAATTTCTTAATGTCTGGATTCTTCAAAGCATTGATCAAGTTATTGCAACTCTGGTGTCAGTTCCACACCCACCATCTTTCGTAGGATTTGTTTGCAAAAGTTAAGCTACTCCTTTGTAAAAATAAATTTACAGATGGATTAAAAAGTATGTAAAGTTACTGAAACAAGATGTCAGTTATTTAAATATTGCTGACAAAACAAACTCAAAGCTGTTTCTAAGAAAGTATAGCAAATAAGACTAAAAGACTAAATTCTTTAAATAAGTGTTCTGTTTGGGTTGTAAAAAGAAAAGGAGTACTTGTGACACCTTAGAGACTAACCAATTTATTTGAGCATAAGGTTTCGTGAGCTACAGCTCACTTCATCGGATGCATACTGTGGAAAGTATGAGCTGTAGCTCACAAAAGCTTATGCTCAAATAAATTGGTTAGTCTCTAAGGTGCCACACGTACTCCTTTTCTATTTACGAATACAGACTAACACAGCTGTTACTCTGAAACCTGTTTGGGTTGTGTACTTTAACTTCAAAAGTGCTTCTTTGCTATTGAAAAAACATTGAGTATTCCTCACATGAACAAAGATATCCTGGGTGACACATTAAATATTCTTTTCCAAGAAGACAAGAAATGGCAGTTAGCTGTTTATTGTAAAGTACCCTCTCCTAGATGTTCTGTACGTCACACAAGCACCATAATTTTGATGTCTACATGTTTTAATGTGAGCTTCTTATGTGAGATAATAAAAATATTTATTTATTTGAGGTGCCTGAAAGCTGCTGCAATAAATCCAGGAATTTTTAAGAATTAAGAGCTTATATGAAGCAAGATGCAACTTTGATTCATCTTTACAAGTAAGCAAGCAATACCCAATAGAAGCATGTTTAAAAGTGGCATGTGTTTCATACATTCTTCAGCAGCCGGAGTACTGCGCTTACCATGCTCAGAATTTGTTTACCTTTACTGTAAAATAATACATATTTAAAAAGTTAAAGAAGTGTCAAGTGGTAGTTTCTTCCAAAGATGATTAAGTCTGGAATAAAAATTGAACTAAAGTATACTTGTGTTCTGGATTTCTCTGTTCAGTTATAATATGCAGATATGTTACTAGCAATTCAAGCACTCTTACATCTGGGCAATCTGAAGAAAGGTGAATTCATGTTACAGAAAGCGTGTATTGCACTTGCAATTTGATGTTCAAGTATATTGTCCAATTGTGTCTATCACTCTATGCAAGTTTTATTCAGATTTCACTTTAGGTTAGAAATACATATTGGTTACTGTTATTGAAAATGTACATTTGTGCTACTTGAAGAGCTTATCTTACCAGAATTTGATTCTGAACGACTTTGGCAGCCTAACCATACAGCAATATTACTATCCCACAGTCATATAGAAAGGAAAACCCAAGGTACCACAAACTGAAGTAAATACTACAAATGTGGTATAGAATTCAGTGGATAACGGTCTGGGTAATCCTCCATGATGACAGGAATGTTTGAATGTATTCTCACAAGAAAAGTTTGCCATAAACATAAATGCTAAAGATGAGTTTACAAAATGAAATGGGGGATCCAGGGACAAATAAAAGAGAAATACTAATACTGTAACAAATACAATCAGAACTAGTATGTTACCATTGACATTAACTCTAACTCCTAAAAAGCACAGTATAATATACAGTTTGATAGTAAATTCTTATTTACAGCAGAGCTTGACTGCAAAACAAAATTTTAAAACTTGTGCCTTACAGTACGGGCACAGTGTACATCTAATGCTATAAAAAGATCTCAACTGGTAACCTTGAAATCTTTCTTTGGTTCACACCAGACTTTAGAAAAAGATAAAACCCAGAAAGTTATTGGAATATATCTGTTTGCAGTGTTGTAGCCATGATGGTCCCAGGATACGAGACACACAAGGTGGGTTAAACAGTATCTTTTACTGGGCCAACTTATATTCACCAACAGAAGCTGGTCCAGTCAAAGATATTACCTCAACCACCTTGCTTTAGAAATTCATCTAACAGTTTTACATATGCTACTCAGATTAATAAAGTCACTGGCAAATCTGTACAGTTAAAACTAGTAATACATCTTGTTTCATTGCAGCGATTCAAAGAGCTTTTTAACCTAATGATATAATATTGGCACCTTTAAAATAGCATTTAAAGTATAATTTAACTGAAATTTATAATCAGTTATACTTATGAAGAACAATAATCTAAATCACTTATTTCACTTTAGCTTGTAAACTCAGATTTGTTTTAGTTGTTCTAAGTTACTGTTACTGGCAACATTACTGTTTGCCTACTAGCAGTTTCATGGATAATTTTCAAAAAGTTAGTTCCTCATTGTACAAGCACACATAAAAACGAACAAGGATAGAGGAGTAAAATTTAAAATTACTTGTCAGTGCAGCAGCTTTGTTACATTTTTTAACTGAAAGGCCTTTAATTTTGTCTTTTTCTTGCTCCCCTCACAAGATGCTTAGAATGATGTTCTGAGAGTCTCATTATTGGTGTGTGCGTATATGCACACACTCACCAGCCTGTCATCAGTCACCATCCTTCTACCAACAGAAAATGGTGGCCTAGGTTCTCAGCTAGGCAAAGCTACTCAACTAACCAGAAGGTTAATTGTGGTATGACACACCTACATCACAGAAGGTAAGCACAATGAACCAACTCCCAATTCCTCCCAGAATGTGGTAGGATGAAGTAGGGTAGCTTTTTCGAAGATTACATAAATACAGAATCATTGGCCCAGAGGCCAGAACAGGCTGAGAAGATAAAATTGCACATAAGGGTACTGCCCTTTAAAACAGTTTCCAAGGTATCATTTAAAAAACAAAGCCAAATGCTAAGAGTGTATCTACACTGCAATCAGAAGCGTGACTGCAACATGTGTGGACATACCCAAGCTAGCTTTGATCTAGCTAACTCAAACAACAATAGCAGTGAAGCAATGGCAGCACTAGTTGCACAACCCTGCCCAGGACCCAAGGTCTGTACTCCAGGTACAACGAGCTGTACAACTCCAACCAGGACTCTGAGTATATATGGGAGCAGCCAGCAACTCAGGCTTCACTGCTATTGTTATCCAAGCTAGCTGGATCTAAGAGTACTGCAGTCACGTCTCTGACTGCAGTGTACACATACCCTAACTGTAGTTTCTCCCACATTGTACTCAGGGTTTTCACTGCAGCATGGTCTAAGCCAGTGTTTCTCAAATGCAGCCCCAGCGGATTCTTCTGCAGCCACAACAGTTCCTGGCCCAGGAGTCCAGGGTGGAAATGGCCAGAGAGGAACAGCAGCCCTTCCCTGCTGTGACCAGCTGTTGCTCCTGGATCCGCTGCCTTGGTGTTTGCTGGTGTCACCAGCAGGGGATCGGTGCCCTGCACTGCACAGCCTCCTGGGGGCTTGGGGCACTGCTCTGCAGGCACGTGTGCACAGCACAGGAAGAAACTTGGACTCCACAGGCAGCTGAATGAATTCCCAACCCACCTTCTTGGGGGTGGTGAGCCTTTGGAGCTTCAGCCGCAGGGCTCTGGCTCTCGGCTTCAACCCCAGGACATTGGGGCTTCAGAAGGACCAGCCTTATAGGTGGACGACCACCCGGGGCTCTATGGTCAAGAGGCAAGGAGTGTGGTGGGCCTGGGGTGTGAGGCCATAGAAGGTAGCTCAGCACAATGGGGGTGGGGAACGAAGCAGGGTCCGGCAGCAATATGGGGATGGGGAGCCCAGTGAGGAACGGGGCAGGCAGCAGGGCCTGGAGGGATGTTTCTATTGTGTGTTTACGTCCAGTAAAGAATAGAGACAACCGTACATTATTTTTATTATTGAGTCTGCAAAAAAACCCTACATAAATAAATTACGATTTGGACGTGTATATATGCATATTTGTTTTTTCTAAAAGTTAATTATTTTAGAAAAAAATTGTCAGAATGGCCACCACCAAGAATTGCTGGCCACACTCTGAGGCCACCAAAAAATTTGTTGCGAGAGCCCCAGGTCTAAGCACAGGACTAGGAGCTCTTGAGTTCCAGTCCTGACCCTGGCACCAAGTTCCCTCTGTGTCCCCGAGGCGAGATTCTTAGGCAAAAATTTTTAAACCAGCGTGCATAAAAGTTAGTTTACCAAAACCATGATTAGGCACCTAAATACAGTTACCTGACTTTTAGAAGTGCTGAGCACTTGCAGCTCCCATTTGAGAGTGCTCAGCAATCGTTAAAATTTAGACACCTAAGCAGAGATTTAGGCCATGTCTACCCTAGTAAGCTTACAGTCACTTTAACTTCATATCAATGCCTTCACTTGATTGTCTTAAAAATCTGTGCATTGGACTAGAAACAAGAAAATATTCATTTTTGTTACACGTGCTTCACAAGGGGCAAGAAAATCTTTAGCTCTGGCCATAATTTAAACTTTAAGAAAATAATATTAGACTCCACAGTCATTTCGCAAGGAAGAAACATTAGCTTTCTAGGTATTGTAAGAATGAGAATAGTAATAAAGAAAGTATTGCGTGTGTATAGATATAGATAAAGTATATATTATTTAGATCTCAGTTGAGGAGAAATCTACCGTCAGCAGAATTAACATCTCAAACACACTTAGACTAAGTGCAGATTTATACGAATGTTGGCCAAAGTTTTCAAAAATAGGAGCCTCAAGTTAGGCTTTTAAGTCTATATTTAGGCACCAATGAGGGGGATTGCCAAAAGTTGCTATTTTTGAAAATGTTCCCATTGCTTTTCAAGGGTCTGTAGGATCACTTTTATAGCGTAATGAATGCCAAACCTCACAGCGGCCAAAATGTAGCAGGGAAGAACAGAGGAAGTTGCTCATATGCAGCCTTAACTTGTTAAAGTGGTGTCATTATGGTCAGATTTGTGAATAAAAACCAATAGTTAGCTAAGACACCTGCTTCCTGGGCTAATTCAGAGTCAGATGCTCTCTTTAGTGACAAAAGTAAGTTTTAAATTACTTTACTCCTAGGAGCACAGCCAAAAAGCTAAGACAGTACTAGACACTATTCTGGCTCATACATCTATCAAACGTACACTGAATGAAGAATCTTTTCCAGTGATTATTTGTGATCCAGAGATAAATCAACTTGAGTTTCAGATTCCAAGCTGAATTTGCAGGACAAGGAGTTAGAAAAACATTTTTTATTTGTAAACAAACAAGCTTATATGGACTAATTAAAAGGCAATAGATAGAGAAGCTCACAAGGGCATTTTAAGAGTTATTTTTCAATGTTTAAAAGGCACTTTAGAAGTTAAAGCAAGGCTTATACCCGGGTCTATTTGACCCCACCCTTTCCCATTCAGGTAAGATTATATAGTGGTTTTGCGATGAAGGAAATCCTTCAGAAATAAAGAAATATTTTTCACTTGTGACCTAAACCTGCAGATTGGCTAGTTTGGGCTTTTCAAAAGCACCTAAGTGATTTGGGACTAAAACCCCAGCAAAAGTCAATAAAACATTTATGCCTTATGTTACCTTTGAAAATCCCACCACCATATTGTATTAACCCACTCTGTCATCTTGACCTGAAAATTATTTTCTATCGTCATTTTACAGCTGAAAGTTAATTTGTTCATTGAATTCCCAACAGTCAATATATCTTAAGGTCTATACACCTCACTAGATCTGCAAATTTGGAGAAGTTCTAATTTTGTTAGGTCTAATCATTTGTACCCTAGGGTACTAGCATTTGAGTGTTGGGATAGAAATCTAAGGGGGACGCTCTCCCCACATTTAAAAAGCCAAGACCAATAGAAATGTTTCTGTAGTTGATTTAGAATGAAATGGAAACTGTTGTTTAGAAGTTATTAGCACATCTGTGCTGAGTTTGCTACCCACAAAAATTACAGCACTGAGAATCTGAAGTAAAAATAAGAAATAAATTTGAGAGCAAATTAATTTTGCTTGAAAATCAATTAAACTTCTTTTAAATTTCGCTTTAGCAGTCTAAGGTTTGGTTAGAAGCAAAGATCAGTACAATGATTTGGTTTGAGTTTGATTT